TTGGTACATTTAATTATTTTATTTTATCCCTACTAATTCACATACCATTGAAGATTGATCCTTGTAGTGACAAAAATTCTAAATTGTAAACATAGCTTATATATACATTATTAACAGGAACATTTTGAACTATCGAGGCCAGATATTGTGGAAAGCTTTGCAGCAATTTAAAGTTCTTTTGGCTGTGCAACAACCTGTCATATCTCTTATCCCATTGTTTCATTTATTTAGTCAGTAAACATTTATTAAACACCTTTTATGTGCCAGGTACTGTGGTAAGCACTGGGGATACAAAGAAAGGCAAAAGGCAATCCTTATTTTCAAGGAGCTCACAGTCTAAGATATATATGTTTTATCTCTTCTAGTACATTAGGGATCAGCAAACTATGTCCAGTGGGCCACATTGGGTTGCTGCCTGCTTTTGTGCAGCCTATGAGCTAAAGATAGTCTTTACATTTTAAAATGTAATAAAACTTTGCTTATATTTATTTACATTATTTTTATATTTTAAAATATAATACGACTTTCCATTCTTAGCTGCTGGTGAGTTAGCCATGGTTTGCTGACCCTTGTACTACTATATCATAGTCTCCTCAGGAGGTATTCTCTTTGTAGCTAGCTAAAACATCTAGTATGTTGTCAGTACTGGGGCTCAGTGGTAGAATAAATTAAGCCAGGGCTTGTTGGGATCCAGGGGTTAGATAGACTCAGTGCACCATGGCCTGTTTTCCAGAAAGGTCTCAGTATGGATTTTGGTATGGAAGTCTGAATAGGTGCAGGGAATGTGGTAGTAGATAATAAGTGAAAATCCAAGTGGTTAAGTGGTGTCAGGAAAGTCTGGCACAGGTAGTGATTCAGATAGGGGGTATGGTTTAAGAAGATGGGGCCAGGCAGGAGTATATTTTTGGGGGAACTGGGTCAAAGAATAATATTACCAAGTGTGGAATTAGGTACAAGGGGAACCAGACATAGAATTCTTTTCACTGTGACTTGGGGTATAATATAAATGGTACTGGTATGGTAAGGGGAGGGGTTTAGTCACATTGGACAGGGTAGATGCTTAGTG